ATATAAAATATAAATGGGTAAGCAGATACTGAACAGCTTGTATTCCCAAGAACAGAGAAACGATGGAATGGGATGAAAGTTCTGTGAGAAAATGAAAGCTGCTAATCTGTTTTCCAAGTGAAACATTTGAGGTGATTGCTCTAACCTGGGGCACAGTACATTCTCTCTATGGCATCGTTGTCACAGGAATCTTCAACCTCACTCCACCTGCTAAAATACGTTAGCTGAATGTGTCCTAAAAACAAAACGACAGGAGAAATCAAAACATTTTTCCCTTCCATTTTATGCAGAAGTGAACTGTAATTACTCCTTTTGTAGCTAAAAACAGTATCATTAAGAATAATGGCATCATTAAGTACTAGAAGCTATTACTGGGGGTGAATTTGCTGCACTGATAATGAAGCTCTAGACAGGAAATGAAGATACTAATTACAAGATAAAACGCCTTCTCAGTTAATTGGGAGCAACAGCGAATAAAAAGAAATGCATTTGCAAAAGTTCCTGACCTCGATCATTCAATAAGATGTTGTTTGGGTTCAAATCACGGCACACAATTCCTTCCTGATGCAAGGCATCAAGGGCTACCACCATTTCAGCTGCCCATCTTTGAACACAGCCTTCAGGGAGGTAAAATCTGGAGGTTAGTGCTAATCTCTCATCCAAGTCCTGAAAAAGATGGTGTATTTCATTCTCTCCTCTGCTCCTCACATCCACCTCTTTGCTTTCTGCTTTGTGTGACAAAGAGGGGGCTGTTCCCTCTTTACAGTGGTCTTCAGCATGATCAGAAAACAGCAACACAGCTTCACTGTCCACATCTAAGCTGTCTTCCGTAACCACTACTTGTGCACTGGCAACCATGACATTGTCCTTTATGCTGAAAATATCTAATGATGATGATGTTGCTTCTCTGAGTCCTTGAAAGGCCGTCCTGTCTCCAAAACCAACTGAGTCACTAGCAGCTGTATGGAATGTCCTAGCTGTTTCCTGATTGTCCTTGTATAGTCCTTGTGATTTTTCTTCCTTCAGATGCTCTACCTTTTGCTCAAGCGCTCTGCTTTGTTCTGCACTGTTATTCAATTGCAAGACATCGGGGGTTTCCAAAAGTTTGCTTTCCAAAATGTCTCCATTCTGTTCCGTCAGTTTTGTTGGCCTGTCCACTGAAGCTTCTTTCATTTGCTCCATAATGCCTGGCAAGTTGACCAAAAGGTCAGGTCTCCCTTCTTCAATACTACCAACCTCATCAAAGGCTACATCCTTAAATGATATCACAGGCACAGAGTCATTAGAACCCCTGCTGATAGTATCCTGAGATGCAAAGCCTAATTTGTTTTCAGTGATTTCAAGGCTCTTATCCTGATCTAACGTAGGAAAAAATGGCTTGAAAGATTCTGATTTTAAGTTATGAAGTTTATCTCCAAAATCAAGACCCAAAAGTTCACTGGTGCTATCTTTACTATCAATTCTGAAAAATTCCATGGGGCTGTTCTTGGATTTATTTAATGATTCTGATATCATAGTAGGATTGGCAGCTTCTGGATCCACATCGTCAGCAAACTCTTTTATTTCCTGACATGTGAATGCAGATTCCAAGTTCCCTGGAACAACTTCATCTTGGGCTTTGAGGCCTCTTTGCTCTTTGGAAATGAGAACGTTATCATCTGGTTTCAGGACAGGTTCCTCATTTAATGAACCAGGGTCAATTTTTTCTTGACTATATTCGTTGCATAATGTAAGATAACTTGTGGTACATTCCTCTTCGGAACTAGACCCAGAGTCAAACCACTTAGGAGAGCTTTCCTGATCTTCTTCTTGGTTACTACTACCATCTTGAGAACTTGGAATGAGACTGGTCTGCAGTGGTAAAACCTTTAATACATTGTCCCCATTACTTCTGGAGCCAAGGCTATTGTTGATATCCTGAGGACTAGGACTTGCCTGATGCAAATGTATTTTGGTAGAGCTGGATTTTCTGGATTTAGGGGCTTCAAAGCTTTCTTCAGGGCTCCTGTTCAAGAATTTACTAATGTAAGACCAAAGTTTGCCTCCTGTAAGAAAAAAAACAAAGTAACCAAAGTTAGTTGTATTTCATTAACCAAACTATGGCAGATGGTAAAATTATATGTAAGTAGTAGATGTTATGTATACGTTTTTATACCATCCATCATCTGCAACAGCAGAGTGATATTTAAACATTCTAAATGGTTTGCAATGAATGATTTCTATTTACAAATGAAAAACTTAGGCTGACACTTTTTGGCACTTTCATCCTCCAAACCCTGCATCTTAATCTAGTATTGTTTGGTGACATACATGAGGTCCCAGGTATGCAAAGCATGGGATATTCCAACCCATGAGTAAGATGGGTGGGTGGGTGGATGAATGGGTGGATGAGCAACTAACTGCTAGGGTTGAGCCTCAGTCAAACTGCCTAGGTGATGGGCAGGGCCAAGGGGTAGGGGTGTGTCATTCTGGCAAACAACAGCAACCTATCAGCAGTTTCCCAGCTGGTGGCCCTTTGCCTACAGACCAGCCATTTGTATCCACAGAGATGGGGCAGGATCTGGCTCTTTACAAAAAGACTGCCAGTGCCTGATATAAAGTATTAGCTGCCCCTCCCAATGTTATATCATATTCAACTTTCTAAGCATCCCAACTCTTTCATCCAAATTATTGATAAAAACATGGAGTGGCCCAGGGCCCAGGCCAGTGCCATATGTCCAACATCACTTGCATAAAGAGAAATTTGATTGGTACATAGAGCATATGATATAACGCTTGGCACACCAAAACAAAAGATGGCCAAATTCTAATGGAGGTAAACCATTGCTTCAACAATTCCGGGGTTGGGAAAGTGGGCAAACTTTTTTGGGCACTGTAGGTTGTAAGAATAGGGGAATGACAAAGCACTTTTTAATGACTACAAGGAAATTTGAGGGCAGTCCTATTGGTGGCAGATTTTTGATAGAACAGCTGTGTGAAGCCTATGTGGAGGTTTTACACACTTACTGTACTGTTTATGTTTAAATGACCTGGCTACCAAGTTTTAGTGACATAATCTGAGGTGCCTTCTGGGAACCACAGGAAAGAAGTTGGGCTACCTTTCCTGACTCAGAATTTAAATACTAAAGAATTATAGCATTGACAAAATTAAAATACGAAATAGTTCTCTGTTTCCTGCTCGTAGGGCAACATATGATCATTAGGGTTCAAGGAGGAAGGCTACTAAACATTGCATGCTATAGAATTAGTGTTCATTAACAGGAAACATCATCGTTTTGAAGTTTCTTGTATGCTTTCCAGATGAATATGAATTCCAACACATTTATGCTGAAAAAGATTTGACACTTCCCAGCAGCCACTCAAGTTTAAGTTTGATCTCCATCAAATCTTCCCGCAATGTCCCTCAAGACTCTTTTTGAAGCATCTGTTTTTACCATTTCTGGCACTTATGCCACTAAGTAGTAGTGAAGCTTCAACATGTCTTGCCAAGTGCTTTGTGACAAAACTAACAGATGCTTTATGAATGTTCTCACCTTTAACAAACCATTTACTACATTGTAATGTGGAGGAGGCTTGTACTGGATTCAGTGCTAATGCTTGGAAAAAAGAGAAAATCTTTTCATTACTGATCCTTATTTTCAATTGAGGTGTTAACCTTTTAGATCCTATAAATCCAACTTAATATTTAGACTGAACAGATACTTTCTGCAATTGTGGAAAGACTGATGGATGGATGAAAGTAGTAGGAATTAATCTACAGTTGTTTGACATGAAATTGGAGCTTCTCCATCTCCTACCCATATACAATTTTTTCCAGATGGTAATTCTGTAAATAAGTGTGGAGGTAAAGCTTACCATGGTAAGTTGGCACCTTAAAAATTTAAATATTGGCTTTTGTTGCAGTGACATAAGTAACATCACTTTACTGGCATGCTAGTGCCAAAGAATAGTCAAGTTCCAATGCCCATTTTAATTGGGCCACTATGAATTTTAAACAAATGCATTTTTTTAAAATAAAAGACAGCAGGAAGCAGAGGCCTCCCAAAAACTTCTGAGGTAACTGGAGGCCTGTCAAATTCTGAGCATCTGCCACCAACTCACCACTGTATTTACATTAGGTGGCTACTGAGTGAGTCAACTGTATCGTGTAAACATAGTTCCCAAAATTAGAAATAGCACTGGAGATCACTCCAGAAGCTATTACTAGCCAAAACTAGGCTTAATTCCATTCATGGTGATTTTTTTTAACATGTGACTATACACAGGCAAAGGAGTTGGGATTTTTGCCTAGAGGTAAATTATGTTTATATGACCCAGGGCAAGGAATTTGTCTCAATATTCTTACTGAGCCCAAATAGGCAAGTTATTCTTACAAATAACTATTGTTTTGTTAAAACATACCAGGAGCATCTGCATGGAGGCATCGAAATGAAATTGGTGACAATGGATATGCTTCTCTCTTCAATTCATATTGTTTACTTCAGTGCAAGTAAGGCCCTTTTGGAGAGTTTCTCACCTTTTCTTCAGAAGCGATTATGGTTAACTAAAATCTGATTTGGTTAGTCTGAAATTCTACAATCGAAGGTCCATCTCTTTGAACATGCTTGACATGTAGATGCGTGACCCAGAGGTCTCACTAAAGAAAACAGAACCTTAGTGGACCATCCTGCCCCTCATGTACCAATTGGATCTATGGATTTGGCAATATGCATTCACAGACACCAGTGAAGTTTCTGCCTGACACACACAGAAGCCATACAAACATCCTTTACCATCTGGATCAGGACTACTGCAGCAAACAAGACTCAGCCAGGTTTCTTTTTAAAAACAATTTCTCTACGGTTATCACTTGTTCTAGGAGCATCATATGGAGTAATTATTTGAAGCGGTAAGGATTTACAAACAGTATAAACAGACCAGCCTATCAGTGCATGGGATAAATATTTACCTCACTGTTTTATTCAAAAAGCACCTTAAGGTAGTGTGTGTAACCTAAAAGCTTTACATCCAAAGAGGAAGGCAGCTGCTTTGCTGAACAGTAGAGCTACAGCTACAAGAACTTTAATGGGATGAAAAACTGTAAAAAGCAATAATGTAGCATAACAAAGAACATGTATGCCTCAAAACCCTTTGCCACAGTGTTCAAGACAAGCCCCAAAATTTTGATTCAGAAGATAAACTTCTACCATCTGGATGGTATAACCTGAAGAAGCTGAGGCTTTCTTTCTCCCCCTACCACCATCGCCCCTGCCTCCGCTCCCTTTCCCACAGCTCATCTGAAGCCACAGACCAACCTTCTGCGTGATGCAGCACAAGGAAGACCGATTCCTCTGAGATGATGTACTTGTGCAAAGCCACCATGTTGGGCACACTGCGGGGGATGATGGTCTTTCTCTTCCTGCTGCATTCGCTACTTTTTCTTAGACCCTGACAGAGAACAGAAAGGTCAGTTGTACCCTCAGTTGCCTTTGGAGCATGCTGTGCTCTGTGCTTATCAACCAAACTAATCTATCCAAGTTACTCCAGGCTTCAGAGAAACCACTCATCTGCTGTTCTGTGCCCCTCAGTCCCCTGAGGCCCTGCTGATGGCATCTGGCGCACATCCAGAGAACAGAAGATGGCACAAAGCTGCCATTAAAATCAATTACATGGGTCAATGTTTTCATTAGAATCTCTCACAAACCAAGTCATCAGAATGACACTCAGTTATTTCTCTATGACCTTTTTCCCCCAGATATCTCTTGGGGGGGAGGGGCAGGGAGGGCAGGGCCCGTACTTTAAGGATCAAAGCAAACTGCTAAATCCATTCACATTCCAAAGGAAAGTCTTGCCCCACCTTCAATTTGATGGACTCGAGTATGTACACATTTCCACTGGGTCGAAGGGAAGATAGACTGGTAATGTGATTTGTTTCCTGAAGGTGTTATAGATTTTTAAAGATGGCACGCATAAAAAAAAAACCCTCATGAAAAAAGCACTGCAGATAAATAAAGTGTGGCTGAATTACCGAAGATCACAATTAGTTTTCACATGACCTCCGGCTACTGCTGTGGAAAAAAAAAACAGCCCTGATTCTCTTCATCTCTTGGCAATGTCAAGAGGAGGAATGTATAAAACAATGCAATAAAACAAAAATATGCATTACTACTATGCAAATGTTCCAGCTAACCCTCCACTTTGTTTAGTGACCTAACCGTGCTCATTCAGCTTTATTAGATGATATTAGGAAATGGAAAAAGAGATGCAGGATTGTCATTCTCTCATCTCATACATTGTTTGTGGCTGGCCTTGTCATCTTCATGCTGCTTCCAAATTTGCAAATTAAACAAAGGCTTCTTCAAGTGGAAAAATATTAGATGAATAGGAATGGAAAACTCTAAAGCAGTTAAGGCCCCAACACATTGGCAAAGGCTTCAGGAAGGGGGAAAGCTTTGTGATATATCCTATAGATGGGGACTGATCTCCCAGATATTGTAGTACCACAACTTGTAGCAGACTCAGCCAACGTGCCAATCGTGAAGAATATTAAGAAATATTCAGATTTAGCAAATCTGGATCTCACATGCAAAATAAGGTGGGCTGGGGGAACAAAGGAAAACAACAGCTATGTACAAAGCCCCATAAATGAGTACAGTAATGGCCCCTGAATTATCTCTCCTATTCACTGTAAATATGAATCATGGCAGACTAAGCACCACAAGTGCTGGGAGAGAGTGAAAAATTACTTTAATGTCAATAATTACTACTTCTACTATTGAACTGACCTAGATATTTCAGTGAAGAAAATGTAAACTATGCCATGGGACACTGACTGTAAAAAAAACTCCCTTTCCTTTGATGGTCAAAGCAGAAATAAGTTTTGCCAATAGCAGAAACCATTTATTAGTTCTATAGTCTGCCACTGAAGTTTAACAAATAAAACACAAACTCCATAAACCTGACTGATGACATTCTGCATTCTGGGTTTTGTGGGCTAAACAGCGGGAAACAGCTCGCCATTGGCAAAGTGAAAAAATTAGGAAAAATAATGACTTACCTTCAATATATATGTTTGTTGTGTCCTAGTATCCATTACAAGCAAAACCTAAATGGAAGAAGTAACTGAAATTAATCCAATCTGTCGGAATTTTAAGTTATCAGGATTAATATTTCCTCTCTAATGATCAGAACTATATGTCTCTAATATGGACGTGGCAGGAAGTATATACATAACAATTAATTTCTTTTCTATAAGATATGATAGCTGCAATACTTAATCAATGAATCAATTAGACTGATTATTTAAAAGTAAATCAGTAATACTGTCAATTAAAAATATCTCTAATTAGTAGGAGCATATTTTAAGCAGTTAATTATTTTTAATGAAATATTTATAGGCATTAAAAATGGCAGGCAGAAAAGGCATGGCCATCCTTGTAATCTCATAAATAGCACATTTGCTATGTTATTTAAGAACAAAAGGATGACATGAAAAAAAGGTTTTTTACCTTCAAAATTATTTTCACCTGAAACGTATGCAGTTCCAAGAACAGTTCACTGAGAAATCTTATAAGCTTAGTTATTTTTTAAAAACTGTATGAAAGCCCTCAAAGTTTGCTATCTGTTCCTATTCTTTGGATCTGGCTTACACACTGCACCAGAATTAAAGTTGTACGTCCTGTTCTGTAAGGCACAGCAAGCAGCACTGAAGTTTTTTATACTGACCCACTTCCTGCAGAACTTTTAAATGTAAACAAGATGGAGTGAGAATTGTCAACTTACTTGTCTCTAGAACAGCTTGGATTAATTCATGGTCAAGAGCTAACCACTCTTGCTAGTCAAAATCCTGTCCCAGTGCCTGGAGTCTAATGGAGACTGGCTGAGGTGGAATAAGCTTACGTTCATTCTTAGAAAGACAATAAGCAAGTGGCAGCCTCTGAGGTTCTTTGCACAGGTATATCTGGTGCATTTACACTCATGTATCTTTTGGGAAGACCTATTCATGGTCAATCATACTTTAGATCGCTCTCATTTGAGCTACTAAATGCAATATGCTCTACATGGGGCTTCCCTTTAAAATCATGCAGAAGCTTTAATTCATGGGTGTCCAACCTTTTGGCTTGTCTGGACTTCATTGAGCGAAGAGGAATTGTTTTGGACTGTATATAAAATATATGATCATAGCTAATGCACTGTATATAAATCACACAATAGTGTTAAAAGTTTACAATCTTGTGGGGCCGCCTTACTAGCTATCCAAGGCTGCGTACAGCCCACAGGCCATAGGTCGCACACACCTGCTTTAAATAGTCCTGAATGCAATAAGCAAGTATTTACATGGGTATATCTCATTTCATCCACCTGATACATTTACTGCATGAGCTATACTAGTTACTAGTTGGGTTTCAGATGTACTTCAGCGTGTTGGTTGTCTCCTAGAACACTGTTTTTCAACCTTGGCGGCTTTCAGATGTGTGAACTTCCCTCCAAGAATTGCTGGTTGAGGATTCTGCGAGTTGAGGTCCATACATCTGAAAGTTGCTAGGGTTGAGAAACACTGTCCTAAAGAACTCTTCCCATCTTGGGGCCTAGACACTAGAAGGACTGTGATTGCTTCTGCCTGTCCTCTGAGGTCTGACAGGATCAACATGCTCCAGTCACATGAGCAAAACGATGCCATCTTGTAGGGCCTTGGAAACAGGCTTTCCCTGAGGCTATGCTTGCCCTCTGGAACAACATCTCCCCCGCCCCCCCCAAAAAAAAGAAGTCCTTATGATTCTGACGATATGGACATTTAGGAAAGTTATTAAGATCTAGCTTTTTATCAACAATCCCCATAAGAAGAAGACAATTTATAACCCTGCTGTTGTGTATTGTTTGTATTATTGCTTCCCAATGTGGATGCTTTTTGTTTGCTATTTTAAACTGTTATTTTATTTATAAACACCACCTAGAGTTTCTCTGGCAAATTAAGCCAGCACTGTTTTTCTTTTTAGCATTTGCCCTGCTTAGTTGTAGGCTTCACTTTGCCTAGTTTACACAGTGAAGCCATCGAAGCACAACGCAAAAGGGTTTGTTCTGCAACTGCCTCACACGTTATCTCCTGCAGGACATACTGTATAACTTTGGAAACATGAGTGGGAACATTCTTAGCCCCACATTTCTTCTCACAAAGCAATTGTATCGTGCTTGGAACTGGGCTATAGAAACAGCAGTTCTTACCTCAAACCAGCCCAGCCAACATAAGTATTTCTCATTCCTAATATTCTGGTTTAATTTAATCCACATTGAGATAGTGATAAGTGATCAATACTGCTCCCACAACGTATTTTATTGGATCAATGAGAAGGGTTGCTTGTGGAACACCAAAAAGGGATATATTAACCCACTCAACTACTTCCAATGGATTAAATACAACCCAAACCAGAGCTAGCTACTTTTTTACAGAATTCCCTTTAATTAATGCCTGACAGCCCAGAATCTAAGGTTAATATATGTGGTCGCTAAAATCCATTCAACCACCAGGTGGCAGCCAAAAAACTACAGTAAATAGTTTTGCAGCCTAGATCTTGTATACCTAGTTTCTTTCAAAACACTGATTGGCTACAATGACCAAGCTGCTCCTAATACTACCTGTGTTTTAGCAATAGTGAAGAGCCTATCACACTGCTCCAGAAGTACAGTATCCCTAACAGTGATTTCTGATCTGATTACAATGTGTTGCCAGAACATTGCTCAAGGTATCTGGCTAAATCAGAGGTGAAGCATACTGTGGAACAGGACCAAAGAATGATAATCTCATCTAGCCTTATATTTAAAACCACATTTAGCTCTGAATATGACTTTCTTAATTCACTTATTTATTGATCAAATTGGTAAACTGCCTGTCTCACACAGTAGGTCTTATGTGTTCACACTTAGCAGGATGGCAAAGACTTATCTGATCTTCAAACCAGTATGCACACACACACATGCAGAATTGCATGCACACATGCGTGGCTACACAGATATGTAGAATTAAGAAATATTTCAGCTGCCTCTATAAATATGAATTTAAAGCATGCTTTAAACATGTCTTTATGTCATTAGTTGAGAATTTTTCATCAAGACAGTAAATAACAGCAATTTAAAAATGGACTAGGAACTGATGGGATAAATCATAAGAAGACAATTGAGTTGTAGTTTCCCTTTTTAGTCACAAGACATGGGGTAGAAGATATGCCAAATTAAAATAGATAAAATGGTTAAAAATGATGCATCAATTTTCCTAGGGACTTTGTCTTTTCAACCAAGTTTATTTGCAGCTAGCTAACATTCACATTGAGGTAGTAAATACAAGAACATATGTGATTTTTTTTTAATGTGCCCTTTGACTGTCAATTTTTCCCAAACAGGTGTTGGTTAAATGATTATAAATTGGCCCCTGGATACACCTCTTCAACTGAGCCGTACAGGACTGGAGATAATATAATTAGAGTAAAAACATCAGGCTGGTGAATGCTTTCCATCTGTTTGGCAATAATATTTAGTTAACAATAGTCTTTAAAAAGAAGCACCTTCAACTTCCCTTCTTAAAGTTATTTATAGAGCCATTCTTAACACCCCAGCACTCTTGCTAACAAGAGCTTTAGCCACTTGGAAATTATTAACCATACGGCTAATAGCATGAAGAAACGTCTGTACACAGCATCTGCAGCTCTCCAAATTTACACGAAGCAACCTCATTTTAGAGTCATTTCTTAATGAATGGGCTTACGACTCTGCATTAATATTATCATTGCATACACAAAAGATCATAAGGAGCCAAGCATTTAAACAAAACAAAAAAAAACAACACTAGGCTAATCGGTAGTGAAGCCATCAGCATAAAGGACAGAATAATCACTTCTTTAACCCTCAAGAGGGCTGGATCATTTATAGGGTAGAACACACAATTTAATAACACTGCTCATGGCTTTGCTCACCTTTCTAAAGACAAAAATCTAATTTGAACTAATTTGATATGTCTTCCCAATCAAAAGCATCCAAAAGCATTCCCAATCAAAAGCATCAGGATAAAACAAATGCTATAACCAAGCTGTCATGAAATAATTACCTTTGATAAGTATATCATTTTTGGGGTGGTAACAATTAAAAGAATGCTTCTTTTAATTCCACATATTTGTTTATCTACATTTACCTACTATGCAACTAAGCTTTAATTGAATATGTTGTCTAAGAAGGTGTCACTCACAAACAGCATCAGGGTAAACTGTATCAGGGTCGTTTTTCTTAGCTGCTTCAGAATCCCAGTGATTAACCTTGAGTGTAGCTCACACATCCTATACTTATCAAATGTGGAGTTACCATTTATGGTAGGTTTGCCAGCCTATGGTTTGAGACAATTTCTCTGTGACAGTGGGAGCCATAATGTTATAAAAAATAGGATGCCAACAGGTTGCCCTTGCCAGAGACAGCAAATGAGAAAAACTGGACTGAGTAGATTGCTTATCATTTCCTTATTTCATTTTGAATGAATGACTGTTTACCAAAGAACTGTGGAAACCTATTGTTACGTGCATGATTAGGTGTATTCACATATCAAGGTACGGTGGAGAACTTGTAGCTGTTCTCCCCCTCCACCACCACCCCCAAAAAATTGTACTCTGAATTCGCATCCACTTAACCAGCACAACCAAAATAACTGTTGACTGACAACATCTGGATGACATAGATTCTTTACCTATTGTAATGCTACATGTATCAAAATAATGACAGAGGAAGTTTCCTTACATCAGGTCAAACAATTTGTTCTATTAATGCCTACTCCTACTATCAGCAACTCTCCAAGATCTTAGGCAAGCATCTTGCACATGTAAGATTTTTAAAAAAGCTGCTACAACCTATCTAAGACCTTTTAAATGCAAAACAAATAACATATAATTCACCTCTGGTCCCTTCCTGCAATTAGCTGCCACTGCAACACTTCTCTCTGAACTAACTTCCATAACCATTATTATCAGTCCTTCCCTTGAAGCAGATAACAATTTACTGGAAGGGCTAGAAAGGAAAAGCCAACCCAATGCCATGCTCTTGCATTGTTTTATTGATATTATTAAATTACTGGGAATCATGGAACAACAATGACTTGCAAATCAGTGAGAGCTAACTTTTGCTCAACCTGCTTAAAGTCAGTTAATGTTTTCCTGAGTTAACCAAATTCTAGTCTGGACCAGAATTTCAGATTACCAACTTCCTTAATAAATAAAGGATCAGGCAGTGCTCCTTAGGAGTCAGACTTGGCCTAAGTGGTTTCAGTTTCCCCTAGCTTATTTTAAATAATAAGATAGCCAAAGTAGTACCTGTCTGCTATTTTCAAAATAATGATGGCAAACGCCCTAGAAATGCATTAAAGACAAATATGCAGATCATGTTTTTTTAAACAACAACTAGAAAAACCGCATCAGCCACTTCAAAGGAGTCTTTGTGCTTTGACAGTACTTTCAGCCTCCAAGAGCAGTATTAAAGATACAAAATGTATGTAAATTAGGACAAATCGCTATATATGGAACAGAATTTATGATAGCACTGAGTAAGTTTAGAAAAAGGGAGGACTCCAAAAGATTAAGAGTTCTTTAGTTTCTGAATTTCAAAAGTTAAACATACTGTGATTCTAGTCTTCTAATCCTATTGAGCAAAGATACGTGCTGATAGAAAGCACAAATACATAGTAGTTTACGCCACAGTTATTCCCACTGAATTTAATGGGCTTGTTGTCAGTTAAGTATTACACAGATTGCAACCTTGTTTCCCTACAAAGGGCTTATGTGGGAAGAGGTGAAGTCAACATTACTTTTATCCCACTTCACAAAATTACACATAAAATTCTGAGTGTTTTGATTGGGATCCAGCCGTTCAGTCTGCTACAAAGAAAAAAAGGGTTTATAAATAAATGCACTGGAAAAAAAAGGAGCAAAATGATGGTAAATAATCACACTTTAGCCTAAAGAAAATAGTTGATTTTAGATGCCTTTAAACACATAGACATTAGCAACTGTTTCAGTATGCTAATTTTTTAATTAAAAGATACTTCTGCAGCAAGAGCTCTTTCATATGCACTGCTGACTCTTCATTAAAAGCAAAGTTTCCAACTTAATACCTGCATAGCTGGTGGCAGCCTGAAGGGTTACCATCTGCTGCCACCCCAAGTCATGGTGGCCACTTTCAGAATATATGCATCAAAGTGCCAAGATTAGAGGCCGAAGGAATAGAGAAGTTGGCAGAAGGGAGCCGTAGGCCCAGAGGCAGGCAACAGGCAAGCCACCAGCAGCAAAGAATATAGCGAGCCATTAGTCACCTTATTCAACTCCTTGCCAAGGTCACAAGGACATAACTGGATGAATTAAGAGTCTAGAATGAAACCTTCCATCTCCACAGGTTGTTGTAAAAGCAAACTGAGCTGGCCTACCAATTGGGACAACTGCTTTACCACCCCACCACGCTACCCATGTTGTTTCCTTTGGGTTTTTTTCCTCAGAAGATAACTTTTTCTGATTCCTCTTTCAAATTACGGAAATGTTCTTTTTAGTTTAAATAATCAGTTTTGCATTTGACTAGGAAGAACAGGGTCCTGCCTAGGAAAGAAAAGTTGCTGCTTAAGCGAGACTGGTGGGAGGGAGAAATGCCACAACATTAGTGCCACAACATTCTTCCCACAGGATGGTGAGGAACTTGAAAAGTTGTGGAGTTGCATAGAAAGAATGGCAAACTGAAGATGGCCCCAATGATCACAGCAGAATGAAGAGTCAACAAATAGATTCTCTGTAAAGCCTCTTCAGACAAGGAGAGAACTTGAACTCATCCACAAGTGCGATACAAGTGGGAACTCATACTTACTTGTGAGGAGACCGCAAATACAGTGGTGTCTGGTAGGTTTAGCACTCTGAGAGATGAGAATTAAATTCTTGTTCAAATCACAGTTGGTACTTTCAAAAGGACACTCAGTTTGCATACTTCCTTTTCTAACCACTTTGGAATGAGCTTGTTAATTGTTTTTCAGCTATTGCATTGACAAGCTTTTGGGTGAGTTTTTTCCAATTCTTAGTGAAAGAAATTTTAAATACAAGTTTAAGCACTTGTTGCTAAGCCATGGAACCTTATTAAGATTTTTAAACATAAGCCCAATTCCATTTTTATGTTTTAAAGGATCTTAATTGTTTATAGTGGCTTCAGCTATTTCAATTGTTTGAACAGTCAAGATTCTGCAATTCTAAACCACCTGTAACAAAAGTGTATACCTAGTGCAACTTCCAATCCAGACCAGCAATTCTGGCCTTCAACTCCCACAATCCCCTATTCCCAGTCTTCAAATTGCTAAGGTTCACACATCTTCATGTTGCCACAGTAAAGAAAGACTGATCCAAAGATTTCTACCAAATTGAATGCAGCAGCAGAAAGGGGAAATTGTTACATTTGTAATGTGATCATACTGAACATATTTCATATACAGTATTTAAATCAAACCTCACTATTCTCCTGCTTCTACCAACCCTGGCAGTGCCAGTTTTGGACTATAGCCCTTGCATGCTATTCAGTGGTCAGGCACAGCCCAAGGCCCCCCAAATGGTTGTGTACTACTGGCCGATAGACAATGATTGATTAATATGATAATTAATCACAAGGATAATAGCGCAGAGATGTAAAATAAAACAACAGTAGAGGTATGTATCCATTTATTCTGAGGGACATCTTATTCCCCCAGACACTTGGCTAGATATAAATTGTTGCCACACAAATCATTCTTTTCATGGACATTATGGCCACTGTCATAAATCTAAAGCCAGTTTTAACATAAAAAGCAGTCTTACTCTCTCAGATGCACATACATACCCAAATTGGAATCCCCTTCCTATTTCCTATATATAGATCATAATATAATAAGTTTGCTAGGGTTTAGATTAAACTGGTTCACCTTCAACAACCAATTGGCCATTCCTGATTTGATTAGCCCATTTGCTACAAGGATTACCTTGAGTCAGCCAAAATCCCATAGCCTGGCTGCATTTTTATTTTTTCCATTTTATTAACAAGAAAATATATATACTGTGTGTATGTATGTGTGTGTGCGCACACACACATACACTGTAAAGTGGTTGGTTCTATCCTAGTCACTCTAATCCATTCAGCTCCCTTCTCACCTCTAGCAAATGTGTATCAACTTCATCTTCCACTAGAATTTAGTCTCTGATACTAGTTCACATATCATCAGGCATTGTATAATATTTTTAAGAGGACTAAGAATGTTTAGTATCCAATTGAAATATATTTTTCTACAACAATCTTGAAAAGCCATTTTAACTTTCTTAAGGAATTCAAGAAAGATCATAGCAACACATAAACATTGTATAATTTATTCCTTGATTTTCTATACATTTATATTTCGATAGTATCTTCCATATTTGTTCTAGGAATTTTGCAAAACTATTTCAAGAATTCAAACAATACTATGATCTGATTGCCTATCAATAACTAATAAAAGTTGTGAATGAATTGGCCTTGGAACCAAGGATTTTCAACATTCAGCTCAAAAAGCTGGCTAAGCTATGCCAACCATTTGCTATCAGTATCTTTCTTTATAACCTATTATTAACCCAGTTTTGTTTGATAATACAATATATAGCATTGCTAAAAATCAGCAACCATTTTTAGACATTTATATCCTGCCTTTATTATTTTTATAAAGAAGTCAAGATGGTGACTGTGGTGGTTGTTTCATGGGTTGAAAAAAAAAATGACTGGCCCAAAGTCACCCAGCTGCTTTCTTGTCTTTCATGCCAAAGGCAAGTGTAGAACTCACAGTCTAGCCTGGTGCCTTAACCACTAGGTATTTCAGTTACCCAAATCTCATTCATTATTTGTATCACCTGGAGATCTGAGGAAAGAAGAACCAGCAGACCTAAAAAAAAAAAGATTAAATAATTGTCTCTACCAAAACTGTAGTAAACAAAGCTGAAGAAATTCTTTGTTGGTATTTGACCTTAGTTTTTGAGTTAGGACTGCCAGTTTTCAGTGGCTGTCGAATTTTCCAACTTGCCTTCTTTCAGAGTTGTTTATCCCCTAGTACCATCTTGGCAACTTTCTGAAAGTGCACAGAGCAATTCTTATTAAAATCAAGGCCCTTCTCACAGAATGGAACCAAACATAATTCTTTTACTCAAATATATTTTGCATGACCTTACATGAATTGCTTAGATAAAAGCCTTTCTTTTCCTTCTACTTTTGTTATTTTAAAGTGCAGATGCATTTGAGTCATTTTCCTCCTTTGTTTCATATCCTTAAGAACCGCAGCTTCAAAGACAGAATGTCAGCATGCAGTCGATTTATGACTGAACTCTTGAAGAGACACTGAAGAATTACCTTGTCAATCACCCCAAGGACTCGAAAGGCCTTCAGTTCCTCGGCAGGGCTCCTTAGGTTCCAAGAGGGCCTTGAACTTAGTGATCCTGGAGGCTAATGGAAGATATCAAAGATTACAACATCAATCAGGGTGGTACTTGAAGGAAGGTTGCCTGCTGAAGCAAATGCCAGGCTGAAGGAAACTAAATTTATCATAAATCAGAGGGAAAGCAGATGAAAGAAGTTTTCTGTTTGTCCTTAATGCAAAGAGGGGAAAAAAATAAGTTGATAGTAAATAATTTGCAAGAGATGAAAATGGATATAGGACAAAAAGGAATATTAATATTTTTTAAAATATTCACAATTTATACAGTTCCCTGGTTGCGCAAACAGGAAAACTTGGGTGCGCAAACAGAAAAACTTGGGTGAAATGCTGGAGAACTTATTCATGCACATTACTCAAATTCTAAAGGAACAGAAACAGGGTCATAAAATAAAGCATATCCATAAATAATATTTGTATGCAATGCCTTAGCTTGGAAAAAAGTTTGAGGACAAGTACATTTGTTACTAAATGAATACATTTATTTTTAAGTTTTCAACCTTGATGAGATCTGCTACAGAATTCCAAGGAATGAATTACATTAAGAATACAAATGACCCATAAGTAAAGCCACATAAGTAAATATTAATCTTCCTCATTACAGACTGTCATTTTCCTCATCTAAATGGAAGCATTCTTTCTCCTTGTCATCTTCAATTGTCTATCATCTTTATAATCACCAACCTGATGGCAATACATGTCACTCAAAACTGCAATCTGAAATGGAATAGGCCATTTTACACTTCTGGGCGCTATCACCTTAGTCCTCTACATAAGTTGACCGGTTTCTAGAATTAAGGGCTAATTTCTGTGGCAAGAATTTGCAGACTCTCATTAAGACATAAGAGTTTATTATATGTCCTAAATCTAGGTATGGTATTGAAGGCAGACTAGGGAACTTCTCCAGTGAAATCACAGAAAAACCTATCTTATTTTATTTTGTATAGCCAGAACTACTGTTATTAATTTGCAAAAGAAAGACCACAAGTACACTTGGTACTGCTAATGCAAATTAGCCATTCCAGATGACTAACTCTCAAGAAAATCTTCTTTCCCAGGTTTTCTTACAAAAGTGCACCTACCGTATAAACATCCTTTAGCAATATTAAAGATCATTCAAAATACAGAGGAGAAGATTGAAAACTCATACATTCATACTCATGCCCAAATACAGTTCATTAGGTAATACAGAACTGTTTACAATTCTTAAAATTATGTTTAAGGCAGATAATATGTTTTACAAGTATTTTCTAACTCATATTCAGGGCCATTATCAGAGAAAACCCAGGTTTGATGTTTTTCACAAATTTAAATTACTCTATTTTTGTCCTACTACCACAAGCCATTCTGTGACATATCATTTCATGAGAAAATGAGAAAAAATATGGATGAAGAAAACTAATATAAATTAAGGCCACCTTATATGAAATTAATTACAGTAGCAACATTCCTTCTGATATGGCAGCTTAAAAGCAAAGTATAGGTTCTTCTTATATGGAGGACAGTCTAACAGTTGAACTATATTAGTCTGTAAATTAAAAGAAGAAGAAATAGCTTGATGAAGCCTTAACATTTTCACAAATCTTCAGAAGCAACTTCGAAGGGTAGAAGGGTGAGAATGAATGGAATAAATGAATGGAATGAATGAATGGAATGAATGAATGAATCAATCAATCAATCAATAAGCCTTTCACCTATTTTATTACCCAAGTAGAATTACTGAAAGAATTAGAAGGAAAAAAAGGTTACTTCTTCACTTTCAAGGAAGTTTTCCCTTATTCCATCGTTTTACAGAGCAGTAATGGCTAGAATATGAGATGTTTTAAAAGACAGAAAGCATTACTATAATTTTCTTTTTTTCCTAACTTTTCACTTGATAAACATAGATTGGCACTGCAAGAAGCTTGTTCCACTCCGGCTGGATTGCCAAAAATAACCTGTGTATTGGGAATAAGAGTGCCTCAAATTTGCTGTAGATTGCTTTTGGTAAATTTCAGACACATATCTTTTCCATTTTATTCCAGCTTGTACCTACTTAAATTTATCCCAGAAAATGTAAAAAGGGATACTGGGGAAAAAACTAGATTTTGAAAATGCCAGGCTAAGACTAGGATTTACACCAAAAACTATTATTTGAGCCTGGGCATCTGACATCCATCCTTTTACATCCTGGATTATTTTGCTACACAATTCTGCATAAATAGGTAGAGTATTCTTCAAGTCACAGGTACTAGTGACAAAACAGACAGATTACCTCTCATAATAATGCAAATTTGCACATAGAACTTAGTGCCATGTAAGGAAATTTATATTTCATTAAGCAGATCAGTATTATAAGGCTGGAAAGAACCCTAAGGGAATTTTAACTTTAGTCTCTGCTATGGCTGGGTCCCTTCACACATATGCACACCTACAAATTAAGTTAAAATTAAGTAGTCCACAGGAGGAGGGGGAACTGAGGAATCCTTCAAAGCTTACATGAAGACTTCTATTGCAGAAGAGATTTCCCCAGTTTTTTTCTCTCTATGAAAACAGACTTAAAAAGCAGAGTAGTTGCAATAGATTATTCCTCTGTATGCTCACCTTGCACCATTCCCCTATATCCACCAAACAGCTTGAACTATTATCACGATTGTTTAAAGTAAAGCCAAGGACTCTATGGCCATTTTGTGATCCAAATGGGAATCTGAAATTTTAACATTTCTACACCAGTGCAATCAGCAACAATCACACAAGAGCTGTAGAAAAGATTCCCAGAGTAAGAAGAAAAAGGGAGGTTCGTTTTATTATTTTATTACGGTATATTGTTGCTGTTACTGAGGTAAAGTCAAGATTTGCCAAAAGCTCTTGAGCTTGGAGTTCAAGAAAAAAAAACAGCAATTCCAATTTATTTATTTATTTACTGAATTTATATTGCCGTCTATTCGCCCAGAATTCGCCCAATACTACAAATGCCGAACTAGTTCTATCTCTTTTGTTAAAGAAAAACTCCATGTAAAAAAAAATCGCAGCATCAGAAAATTTCAGTTTTCGGAGGTGACCCTAAAAACATTATCACATTCCTACAGGATAAGATCTCCAATGTTCCCAAACTGCTTTCTCCAAATCTGGCCTCGTTATCATTTCACTTTATTTCCAATTATGTATTTCTGCACTGTTTGCATTCTGAGTGCAGCATTTTTTGTTTTGACAAACTGACTTCATGGAAAGCTCAATCTGATCAGGACCAAAGCATTGTTCTGACCCTTCCTCTCCTTCTCCTCCCACAAGGAGAGGAGTTTAATAAGTCCTCACTGGTGTCAGTGAAATCAGAGCACAGAGAAGAGCCAAAAGAGATAATTAGAGGAGTGGAGGCTAAAACATTTGAAGAATAGTTGCTGGAATTGGGTATGTCTAGTTTAATGAAAAGAGCGGTGACATGATAGCAGTGTTCCAATATCTCAGAGGCTGCCACAAAGAAGAGGGAGTCAAGCTATTCTCTAAAGCACCTGAGGGCAGGACAAGAAGCAATGGGTGGAAACTAATCAAGGAGAGAAGCAACTTAGAACTAAGGAGAACTTTCCTTACAGTTAGAACAATTAATCAATGGAACAATTTGCCTCCAAAAGTTGTGGATGCTCCAACACTAGAAGAGATCAGAAAACAATTTGTCTGAAATGGTATAGGGTTTCCTGCCTGAGCAGGGGGTTGGACTAGAAGACCTCCAAGTTCCCTTCCAATGTGGTTATTCTGTTAATCTTTTGCTTGGCAATGTTAATTTCAGGAACACAGAACACATTCCAGATTGCATTGCAGCAAGAGAAGAATTAACACTCCATGCTTATCACACCAGGATCCCAATCTGAGACAATCATCTGTCCCTAATAATTTCTCTAATACACACACAATCTGTACCCAAGATAACAGATTGCCTGATCCTCACAAATAAGATCAAAGGATTATATCCATCTTCTCTACATTCAGCGTAACAGAAATCTCTCCAGCAATTTACTTGTTCTTATCTCACTAATAAGGAAAAAAATTAAAAAGTGCTTTCCTTAGCTACATATAATGATGCTAATGCTGATCTTGACTGTGGTATTCTTTCTTAACTGATAATGGATAAATATGTAACATTTCTGAAGAATCAACTAGGACGAGAAGACTGTCAGATATTTTCCTTCACTTTTTAGCCCTTTATTCCATATATGCATGCATTTATTTATCTAGCATAAAACATATTTATTTACAGTAGAACCTCTAGTCACAACCATAATTCATTCCATAACTTTGGCGATTTCTTCATCTTCTAATGTTTCATCTTCAGGAATTTCTGGATCAGGGATCATGTTTGATCGCCACCTGAGTATGTGTTCCTGTGACCAGATTCAAAACTTTTGTGAATTTTTTGGTCAGAACCCGATTTGGTCATGGTCAGAAGCTTTTGTGATCAGAGGTTCTACTGTACTTATATATCACATTTATATTTTTGATACTGTGTTAACCATAAAGAAATTAAATCAGTTGTGAAGGAGATACAATAAATGTCCATATGTGTACACCAACACAAGAAAATTAAGTTATTTTAGAAATAAAAAGAACCTACACCAAATATTGAGCCATCTTCTGATGAGGGTCTACAGTAAAGGCTGGAAATTTTTTCTGCTCTCATCAGATATTCTGAAGTCTTCCTCTTCACTGCTTCACGACGAGTTGGACTTGATTCTCCTGTGTACCATAAAGAAATATATTTATAAGCCTGAAACCTCTGCAACAATTTCTTTTTCAGTTATGGTCTCAGAAAAGTGGTCACGATAGAAGTTTTAATGCATTGTTGCTCCTATCACCTAATGGCTACCACAGGATGTTCATCAAAAATTGGCAACTGTAGTAAGATATTATATCACTAGATACTCGTGTGCAAATATCTGTGATGACATCTAAACACCAAAAGCGCAAAATCATGCTACAAAACCCATTTTTTTTCTATAATAGAATCCTATTTCTCAGAAAGTTTATGGAAACACATCCTCCACTCCGATCATGCAAGATTTACTTATTCCAGCCTTCACATTTTTCCATATAACCATTCTACAGATTCCCTAATATGATCCACTGTAATGAGTAGTGTGTCCAATCCTTGATCCAGTTTAAGTGTTTCTCTTCCCACCTTATTTTTGTTTATATATCACATTTAGAAACCCCCTATCTCACTCAGATCTGTAAGATCGCTCATCTCTCAGAGAGATGTGAATTTGATATATGTCTCTAAATTTATATAAAAAACATATAAAAATCTGATATAGGTAGTCCTTGACTTACAACAGATCATTTAGTGACCGTTCATAGTTACGACAGCTCTGAAAAAAGTGGCTTTTGACCATTTTTCACATTTAGAACTGTTGCAGCATCCCCAGGACCACATGATCAAAATTCAGGCACTTGCATACTGACTCACATTTATGACTGTTGTACTGTCTTGGGGTCATGTGATCACCTTTTGCGATCTTCTGACACGTGAAGTCAATGGGAAAACCAGACTCACTTAACAATTAGTCATACTAATTTAACAACTGCAGTGATTCACTTAACAACTGTGGCAAGAAAGGTCATAAAATGGAGCAAAATTTACTGAACAAATGTCTCACCTAGCAACAAAAATGTTGGGCTCATTTGTGGTCGTAAGTCAAGGACAACCTGTATTTCAATAAAAGGAGGCCATTAAAACAAGAATAGAATAATCCAAGTTAAAAGGGCAGGGGGATGGCTCTCAAAGCGTTAACCAATCCCAAGGTTGTGTGTTCCTCTGAGATTCCCACGCAAGTCAACAGAGCCAAGTCTTCAGACTCTTCCAAAAGGAGAGTGGGGTCTTGCCTTGAGCTATTACAATTTATTTTCCTCTCCATTCCAATGTTAGTATAAATATATCCCCATGAAATAAATGAGAAATGTTTCCCAGTGATTCCATAAAATCTTGCCTGTAATATATAAAATTAATCAATCTTTAAACTCACACTTCTATACAAGAACAAATTTTTACAAAATGTAGCTACCTAGCATAGAGCGGAGGCAGGGGAAAACACTTCCTCCTTCACATATAGGTGAAACTTGAAAAATTGGAATATCGTGCAAAAGTTCATTTATTTCAGTAATGCAACTTAAAAGGTGAAACTAATATATGAGATAAGACTCATTACATGCAAAGCAAGATAGTTCAAGTCGTGATTTGTCATAATTGAGATGATTATGGCTTATAGCTCATGAAAACCCCAAATCCACAATCTCAGAAAATTAGAATATTGTGGAAAGGTTCAATATTCTAGGCTCAAAGTGTCCCAGTCTAATCAGCTAATTAAGCCATAACACCTGCAAAGGGTTCCTGAGGCTTTAAATGGTCCCTCAGTCTGGTTCAGTAGGAATCACAATCATGGGAAAGACTGTTGACCTGACAGTTGTGCAGAAAACCATCATTGACACCCTCCATAAGGAGGGAAAGCCTCAAAAGGTAATTGCGAAAGAAGCTGGATGTTCCCAAAGTGCTGTTTCAAAGCACATTAATAGAAAGTTATGTGGAAGGGAAAAGTGTGGAAGAAAAAGGTACACAAGCAGCAGGGATGACCACAGCCTGGAGAGGATTGTCAGGAAAAGGCCATTCAAAAGTGTTGGGGATTTTCACAAGGAGTGGACTGAGGCTGGAGTCAGTGCATCAAGACTGCCACACAGAGACTGATCCTGGACATCGGCTTCAAATGTTGTTGTCAAGCCGCTCCTGAACAACAACCATGTCAGAAGCATCTTACCTGAGCTAAAGAAAAACAGAACTGGTCTGTTGCTCAGTGGTCCAAAGTCCTCTTTTCTGATGAGAGCAACTTTTGCATCTCATTTGGAAACCAAGGAGCCAGAGTCTGGAGGAAGAAGGGAGAGGCACACGCTGCAAGATGCTTGAAGTCCAGTGTGAAGTTTCCACAGTCTGTGTTGATTTGGGGAGCCATGTCATCTGCTGGTGTTGGTCCACTGTGCTTCATTAAGTCCAGGGTCAATGCAGCCGTCTACCAGGAGATTTTGGAGCACTTCATGCTTCCTTCCGCAGACGAGCTGTATGGGGATGCTGAGTTCATTTTCTAGCAGGATTTGGCACCTGCCCACACTGTCAAAAGCACCAAAACCTGGTTCAATCACCGTGGGATTACTGTGCTTGATTGACCAGCAAACTTGCCTGACCTGAACCCCATAGAGAATCTATGGGGCATTGCCAAGAGAAAGATGAGAGACATGAGACTGAACAATGCAGAAGAGCTGATGGCCACTATTGAAGCATCCTGGTCTTTCATAACACCTCAGCAGTGCCACAGGCTGATAGCTTCCATGCCACGCCGTATTGAGGCAGTAATTGCTACAAAAGGGGCCCAAACCAAGTACTGAGTACATATGCATGCTTATACTTTTCAGAAGTGTGATATTGTTCTGTGTACAATCCTTGTTTTATTGATTGCATGTAATATTCTAATTTTCTGAGATTGTGGATTTGGGATTTTCATGAGCTGTAAGCCATAATCATCTCAATTATGACAAATCATGGCTTGAACTATCTTGCTTTGCATGTAATGAGTCTATCTCATATATTAGTTTCACCTTTTAAGTTGCATTACTGAAATAAATGAACTTTTACACGATATTCTAATTTTTCGAGTTTCATCTGTAGATATAGCCAATAAAAAGTATATTTTCATTTTTTAAAGATTTTATGATGTTCTAGTGGGTGGCTTAAACCTTCAGGTTCCTATGGCACTTTTTTCCTCTTAAAACTCCTACAGACACTCATATACCCAGAAAGAAACAAAAAGACATAATAAATCTAGGGATTAGGTATATAATGCTTAGTAGGTTATGATAGCACCAAATTCAATTAGTGAATTTCTATCTTCTTTTGTTCGTCCTTTCTACTTTTCTCAGATACTCACTCACTGGACATAGAATTATCTTAATTTTCAAGATAATTTTAAGATTTTTATTTTGCTATCTATTACATGTGTTCACTGTTATATATAATTAATCAGTTAATATCTCACAATGTAAATATTTTTATGTGCTACTTTCAGTTATTTCTTGTTTCTCCTTAAATGCAAGAACTATAATACCAATTATTTATAATAATTAATTTTATTAATGAAATAAGAATAACATCCCTGCTAAAGAAAATACCTCTAATTGTATTTCTAAAAACATTAAAAGCCAAAATTAATGATCTCCAAATACTCAAGTTCACGTTGCCTTCATGTGTCCTGAGATTTTCAACAGAATTTGAAGTCATGTTACGTCTGAATAATCCTTGAGATTTTTATGCTTTGAGATTTTTTTCCAAACATTAAAAAATACATCAGGAATATGTGTTAGGTATTATTAAAGCTTTTAATTAGTCTTTATAGCACAATCAAGCAAGGTCATCTTTCTTCAAACGAAATATTCATTTCCTATTTAGGTGTCTTCCTTGATACCAGCAGATATTTGTGTTTCATTTGATGAAGATCACAGGGTTTTTACCTGAATCAGACTTTTATAAATAAGGCAATGTTGGTTTTTTTTTTTTTTTAAAAAAGATCATCCTCTGAAGAAAGATATAAAAAGTGTGATAATGTTGATGACAGAGACCTTCAAATAAAAACCCTTTGAGATTCCTCTGTTTCTCTTTCCCTCTCTCTCCCTCTCCCCATTTGCTATACCGCAGCTGTGCCTCGCACAAATTCACATGAATGAAAATATTTAGGAGAGAAACCACCCCCTTAGCTTGTTTTCCATATGACTTTCCTGTAATTATTTTGTAATCTGTTCGCACAACAATATATAAAAACATCTGCAAAAACAGGTAATTAATGTGTCAAGCTAAACTAATGCATTTTTATGGTGGCCATGCTTCGTCAACTGTAATTATAACTCTTTTTAAGCAAATGATGATGTGTTTGTTGCAATGTGAAAGTGGTTATTTTAGATGCTCTGTTCGCCATTCCTGCAAACAGAATATTAAAAAAGAAACGATGAAAAATAACTATACTGCTACCAAGCAACACATATAGGCTTCTAGCCATTTTTAGTTTTTTGCTGCTTCCATTGCAAATCATCCTGTATGTTTTTTAAAAAAGGAGAATTTTATTTTATTTGCATCAGCAGCTGAGTGGGTTTATATCTGCTGCAACTATGCTAGCATAACACTTGGATTCTCGCAGCGTGGAAAGGATAAATATAGGCTCCTAGCCTGGCACCTGAGCCAGCTTCAAGTGTGAAAAGGCCCCACAGTCTTCTCAGTGAGTACTGGTGAATATGTGCGATGATGATGACAAAAGTATTCTGAACATTTGGGGCTAATTTCCATTTCTAAAAATATAAGAAGGGTCTTGTGGATTAAGCCAAAATCATGTCTCGTCCAGAATGGACCCAACCAGAGAAATCTGAGAAATTTACAAAAAGATATAGAAAAGTTATAATCCTCTTCCATGGTTTTTTTTCCCCAGCAGCTGGTTTTCCAGGCTTTCTGCCTAGGATTCTAAAATCATAGTCATTAAGCCTAGTAGCCACTGTTAATCTGATCTTCCATGAATCTGTCCAATTCTCCTTTAAAACTGTCTAAATGGGTAACCATCATCACACCTGAAGTTAGCAAATACCAGTGTAACTGTGTCATGAAAAACAACAAATTGAGTTCATATTAGTTTTGAACCTCTTTCTGTCTTCTG